TTTGTCCCCCATAAACCATCTAATCAATTTCCTCACTCCTGCTCCCTCCCACTGTCCCTCCCTGCCACCTGCCCCCTGATTGAGGCAACACCATCTGGCCACACCTTCCACTGTACCTCATGACCTAACTGCCGTGGTGGTGGTGTGGCCCTCATCTCCAGGTCCCCACTTGCTCTATCCCCTACTCCTTCCAATCCTTCTCCTCCTTCGAGCACCTTCCCCACTACCATCCGTCCAATCTTTCCCTAAAATTCCCCCGAACCCCCACCTACCATCGACAGTCGGGCCTTCAAACTTTCTGCCCCCACTATTTAGAATTCCCACAGTCCCTTGACCTTGCCCCCTTCCTTTCCTCTTTCAAGGCCCGTCTCAAGACCCTCCTCCTTGACTGAAACTTTGGTCACCGTCCCACCCCCACCCTCCCTGCTCCCCACCACCCCTGATCTCAATCCCAGCTCGGGTCAAAATCCTTGACTGTCCAGCGCCTTGGGACATGAAAGGTGCTGTGTAAATGTAATTTGTTGTTGTTGTTTTTCTCATCTGTGTTCTGTTGCTCTCGATCCTGATTAGAGCAACTCAGTCCTAGCGAGAGTCAGACCAACTAATCCAGGAAGAGCTGAGAGCTTCCTAAGTCAGTGATACAAAGGGAGTTCATTTACTCTCAATTGGGGGATCGCTTTTGCAGGGGTAATAATAAATCATTAAAACATAAATCATTTTTTCACTCAATCCACGATTGTTTGTGGGACGCTGCTGTGCTGTAATTCGCCCACAAAACACTCAGTCAATTCACTTTACAATATATTCTGTCAAGCGCTTTGAGACGTCTCGAAGACGTGATAAGGCGCTATATCAAATGCAAAGATTCTTATATTATATATATTATATAACCCATTCAGGACATCATCAAAGGAATACCTGATGTTGGCAGAGTTGATCATAGAATGTCATCGGACAAAACAGACCATTCAGGTCATTATACAATACAATTTACATTGTTATAATGCCTTTCATGACAGGAGGATGTCTCAAAGCACTTGATTCATGTCTGAGCTGAGACGAGTCATCTAATCTAAACCCACTCTCCTGCTCACACTCTCCTCGTTCTCTTTAATATGTCTTCAGCATTTACCTAATTCCCTTTTTAAAAGATTTATATTGTAAATAACCTTATTATTGGTGTCCAGATCACCACCCTAGTTCTCTGACATATTAATTTCAGGTCCTGTCCACCAAGTGACTCAAGTGGATGTAAAGGGATTTCCTCAGTTAATGCGCGAAAGAAACGTGGAATCAGTTATTCTCTCAGTTCGGGCTGTGGCCCCTATATGTCCTCCGACCTTCAGCCTCTCTGCCCTCAACCTTTGGAACTCCATCCCACAGTCACTTCACCTCGCTCCCTCCCTCCCTCACCTCTTTCAAGGCCCATCTCCAGACCCTCCTCTTCGAGTGCTGCCAACTTTGGCCACCCTCCTACCCCTACCCTCGCTCCCCTCTACCCTCCCTGATCCCAACCCCCAGCTCGAGCCCAAATCCCTAACCGTCCAGTGCCTTGGGACGCCCTCACGACGTGAAAGGCGCTGAGTAAATGTCATTTTGTATTGTATCTGTTAACATTCCCCTCTTAATCCAAACAGCGGACTTTCAGCTCATTCTCTAGGCTGGGGGGTTGGGTGTGGGGCCCAACTGTTTGGCTGCTGAGGGCCGGATGCTGGGTTTGAGAAATGTCCGTGGGCCACATAAGCGATAATTTATCCTGTGGCTGGGCACAGCCTGAGCCCCTTGTGACCGTCTCCTGATTGGCTCGGGGCCTGTGTGTCGCCTGTATTTGCTGGTCGTACAGTGAAGGTAGAAATGGTCCATGGGCTAAATAAAATCATCCCAGGGGCTGACAGTTGGACCACCTTGCTCCGTCCTTTGGATGAGATAATAATAATAATCCTTGCATTTGATATATGTTTTCGTGACGTCTTAAAGCGCTTCCCAGAATATATTGTGAAGTGAATTGACTGTATTTTGTGGCCGAAAAATATATTTTTTAATATTTGAGATATTCAACCGAGTTCCCATCTGCCTGTTCAGGTGGATTTTAAAGATCACATCTCATAGGAACATAGAAACAGGGAGAGACGAGGATCTTGAGTTCGATCCTCTGGGGAATGTGGGGCCAGTGGAGTCAGGCGAGGGTGGGAGTGATGGGGTCGCGGAGCTTGGTGCGGGAAAGTACACGAGCTGCAGAGTTTCGGATGATCTGCAGCTTGTGAAGGGAAGAGTTGGGAAGGCCGATGAGGAGGGAGTTTCCGTAATTGAGCCTTGACGTGACGATACTGCTTAAAAAGAGAAGGAAGTTTCATCCAGATAAATTGCCCACTCATAGCTATGCAGGTGTGAGACATTGTTGTGAGCATCATAGCGGCCACCTGCTCACTAAATGCAAAGATTAGTTTTATAACATCATTACTCAGAGGAAATGTAATGACAGCTGGAAGCTTCATCAAATGCTGTGTCTTCAGAGACCAGATTTCAGCCTGGCTCAGTTGGCAGCATTCTCACTCCTGCGTCACAATGTTGGGGGTTCAAGCCTTATTTCAGGGCTCTGAGCTCACAGTCTAGACTAGAGGAGCGCTGCATTGTTGAAGGTGCCGTTCTTCAGAGGAATCGTTACACCAAAGCTTCTGTTTGCCTGTTCAGGTGGAAGTTAAACATGGAATGGCTATATTTGAAAGGAGAAGTTTCTCCTGGTGTCCTGGCCAAAAAATCCCCAAATAAAATTGCTGTTTTGTTCTCCTCCACTGCATAGCTGCTTGTAGGGCATTGTAGGGTAATCAAATTGACTGCTGCCCTATTTGCCCCCAAAATATAGAAATATAACTCACAGTAAATTATGTGAAGCACCTTGAGAGATCCTCCTGATGTGAAAGGCACTGTTTTAAATGCAACGATTATTATTATAAAGAGATGAAGAGTTGAAGGATCCTTGAAACTTGCAAGTTGAAAATTACACAGAGGTAATGATAAGCAGCCGATGTCAAGATCAGCAGATGTCAGGATGTGGGAGAGAGTCGACAGTTTTAAGTGAATCATCATCAAAGGAAGTTATTCAAATAACTGTCTGATGGCGATGATCAGCTTCCACCCGTCCACAAACTCTGCCAACAACAACAAATTACATTTGTAAAGCACCTTTCACATCAGGAGGACGTCCCAAGGCGCTATACAGTCAGGGATTCTGACCTGAGCTGGGGGTTGGCATCAGGAGGGGTGGAGGGCGGGGAGGGTTTTGGTAGGAGGGTGGCAATGGATCGCTCTGTAATCAGGATTGCTGAGGACACCAGCCATCTGCTTCCAATGTGTGCCTTATCAGAGCAGCAGAGCTGAGGCTCTGGGATGAGAATTAACACATTACAATGGAATGCACATGACTGGAAAAGAGCATCTGTGGCTGGTCTCAAACTCTGAAGATTGCAATACTCACTGGTGGGTGTTTTTGTCCAGCCACATGCGGAAACCAATCACCATGCTTCAGAGTATCCAAACCAGACAGAGAATTCCATGCATCCACTGACACATGGAATTTAAGATTCTGAAGGGAATAGATAATGTAGACAAAGGATAAGCTGTTTTATCTTTTGCTGAATTTAACCCACTTTACGGCCTGCGATTGAAGGGGGTTAAATTCAGAACAAATCTACAGGAACACGACTACAATGAACGAGTAGTAACCTTATGGAATAGGCTCCCAAGGGAGACAGTAGAAGCAGAAATTGTAATTTGTTTCAAGGACAAATTAGGTAGATTTCTGCGAGAAAACAATATCTGGGGATACAGTAAACAGTTTGGGACACGACGTGTCAAGCGACTGCCAGGATAGTGGAAAGCAAACTAGGTGGACCTTAGACTTCTAACGCCTAGCAAATTTTTATGTTATTATGTTGTTAAATGTTTCTGTCTCCTGATTCCAATGTGTTTTGAGATATCTCGACAAGGTGACAATCCGTGATATCGATACAATACAATTTACATTTATATAGTGCCTTTCACAGCGGGAGGATATCCCCGCATCAAATGCAGCAATTATTTATATTGTTATTTGTAGGTGAGCCTGACAGGCAATTTGCTCACAGCAACGTCTCACAGATAGTCCTGAAGTTAATGTATGACTAATAGGATCTGGTTGGCAGAACCTTGAGAAATTCCCTTCTCTCGCAGAATCTTTAACATCCTCCTCTAGAAGACATGAAAAGCGCTGTATCAAATGCAAGGATTATTATTATAATTATTATTATTACAAGGATAATCCATTGGGATTATCACCTGCAGAATAATAATAATAAAATTAATCCTTGAATTTGATGAAGAGTGCTTATCAAGTCGTTGAGACGTCCCACAATACTTCACAATTGTGGGCGAAACGGGCAGCCTATTGCACGCGGCAATTGTTTTATAATATAATACAATAATCCTTGCATTTGATATAGTGCCTTATCACGTCTCAAAATGCTTCGCAGAATATACGTAGAATTAATTGACTGTGTATTTTGTGGGTGTAGCCAATTGCGCACAGAGGCTTCCCACAAACAGTCGTGGATTGAAGTGACAAGATATTTATTTTGCAATGAATAATCATGATTTTATGTTTTGAAGGGATTATGTATTGAGAGTCGGCCTAACTCAGCTAGTAGCACGCTCGCTTAACGGCCAGAAAGTTCCAATCTTTGCAATAATCAATACTGTGTGATGGATTGCCCGGAATTCCCACTCTACACTTTGCTCCTCATCACTTTCCATGGACTCAGACTCTGGACCCCACAGCAGTATGTGGAGCCCAGTTGGGGAATGGTGCGCATGCGCTCCCTCCCCCCCCTCTCGGGAGCTTGTAGTTCTTTCCGTCACCAGGTGGGACGCCAAACTACAGACCCCGGCGGGCCTTGCGGCGGCGCATGCGCACGGAGGGGCGTGGTGGGCACACGTGACCAGCGTGCCATGTAGTGGAGGAGCGCAGTGCCGCTGAGATACAGACAGCAGCGAGTCACCAGGTGAGTGTGAGCGAGTGTGAGCTGCAGAGTGACTGTCTCACACACACACACACACACAGCATCAACAGGTGCATTTACATCGCAAATCTGAATGCAACGTTAGCAATTTAATCCGTTTAACTTCTTTCCACCTCTGCAAATAACTCAATCGTTTTTAGTTCTGATGATGGATGTGAGTTCCAACGATACAACACTGATCGGTCAGTGAGTGATGGGGTACAAGTTGCAGAGCGAATGTCCTTTATTTTATTGCTGTTGGGGATGTTGATGGGCATTTCTGGGGTCAGACCTTATTTGGGTTTAATGTTCGGATTTGTGAGTGTGTTGTGTGTTGTGTATGAGAGGACTTTACGTTTAGGGTAAATTTTTGGTTATTGTAGTTTTATCAGAAGTTATTTCAGTGCTAATGGGGAAAATAAACTATTATTTGGCTGAATTAGTTCAAAAAATGTCTTACTTCTGTCTGGCAGGGAAATCAGGTCCTGTTTTACGTCTGTGATCCGATTACAACGCGTTGTTGGAAATAATAGTTTCATTGCCCAGAGGAGATGGGGTGTCTGAAGGAGTGGCAGTCAGTTGGATGTGGAAAGGCGAGAGAGAAACTTTCTGCTGCAATTTAATTATTTTTCATCAATTGTAAGGAGTAATAACAAATAACTGCTGTGCGCAATTGGCTGCCGCGTTCGCCCACAAATATACGGTCAATTCACTTTACAGTCTACTCTGTGAAGCGCTTTGGGACGTCGAGAAGACGTGAAAAGCGCTATATCAAATACAAGGATTATTGTTATTATTATCACAGCAACAGAACCCATTAAATAATAAAAAGGGTAATAAATGCAATAAAAGTGGGTGTTTTAGTATCTGTATTAAGAATAACTGCCCCATCTGTCTCTGTCTGTCCCTCTATCTGTCTATCTCTGGTTCACTGCTCTCTTCCCCCCACCATTGCCTGAGTGACACAGAATTTAAATGGAATTGTCCTGATTTTGATTTCTGTGGCTGTTTTTCTCAGTGCGAATCTGTTCCGAAAGTGAAACTAACATGCAATTAAACACTCGTTAAGTTTGCAGTTGTGCTCGGCCACACTACTCTTACTGTTCTCCCCTCCCAGTGGGAGTAGGAGAGAGAAACTAACTAATGTCTTTCTTTTATCTCAACTTATTTTAAACGCCTTGGGGGCTGCTAACCTGCGAGACCGGTGCTATATATATATGTGTGTGTGTATATATATATATATATATATATAAATGCAAATTGTTGTTGTCTTTCCCTGATATTACAATAACTTTCAGGGTAGCGTCCCAGAGCACTTGACAATGGCGGAGCACGGCGTGGGGTGGGGGCGGGCGAGGGAGGTGACCGTAGGCACGGTCAAAGAGGAACCTGAAGATGGGGAAGGAAGGGGCAAGGCAGAGGGGTAGAGGGAGAGTGTTCCAGAGTTTTGGAGGTATTGTGGTTGAAAGGGGCAAGCAGGAGGCTGGAGTCAGCTGAGCGGAGGCATCGGTTAGTGGGTTGAGGAGTAATCAGGTCGGAGGGTTAGGGAGGTGCTAGGCATGAAGGAATTTGAAACCGATTGGGAGGGATCGTTATGATGATCCCATTGCCCCAACGCTATGTTGTGTCAAAATCTCTGACTTTATTCTGTGCTGTAACTGGAGCTGAATTTCGGTAACTCACATCCCCAGTGTGTTGAAGAATGAGGTTCAAGTCGATGTGAATTTCCTAACTTTTTTCATGGCTGCTCAGCCTCTGAGCAGAAATTTTCCTACAACTAAACTTGGACAAGACAGAGCCATTCTCCTCAGCTCCCGCCAACATTTCTCTTCTGGCCCCGACCTTCTCAACCTTCCTGCTCTCTCTCTCTCTCTCTCTCTCTCTCTCTCTCTCACACACACACTCTCTCTTTCTTTCACGCACACACTCACTCTCTTCCCATACATCCCCCCACACACACTCTCATTCCACCTCTCACACACCCTCTCTCCCTTCTTGTTTTGCACACTTTCTCCCTCTCACATCCTCTCAATTATTCTCATTCTCTCTCTTCTCACAGTCTCGTGTCCCCCCCCACCCCCACTTTCTTTCTCAATCACTCTTTTTATCAATTAGCAGCATGGCTCACTATCTGGCAGGGACAGGAGCCGGCTGTTGGTAAGGAAACCCTCTTGCCTTCTCCTCAGCTCGTTGCTGCAGGCCGAGCTGAGGGTGAGGCAAGCGGGTCTCGGTACCAACCCCCCCCACCGTGTCCTCCCAAACACCAGCTCCTGCCGCTGCCATTAGAGGACAGCTTGCTGGGGAGGGAGGGAGCAGGTGGGCCGGATGAAATCATCCCCTGGGCCAGATGTGGCCCGCGGGCCGCCAGTTGGTCCATCCTGTATTAGATCACGGCTGATTTAATCGGCTCCAATTACCCACCTTTGCCCCAAGTCTCTGGATACCCTGACCTAACAAATATCTATCCACCTCAGTCTTGAAATCTCCAACTGATCCAACATCCACAGCCTTTTGGGGCAGAGAGTTCCAGATTTCCACTACCCTTTGGGTGAAAACCTGCCTCCTGATTTCACTCCTAAATGGCAGTTCCCCAGATGGGGTCTACACATTTGAGGCATCATCTCCTCTCCTTTATATTCCACTTGCGATAAAGTCCAATATTCCTTGAGCCTTTTTGATTAGCTCTTCTTTCTCTCACTGATCTGCTTTCTTCACCTCCGCCACATTGCTCACCTCAGCTCCTCCCTCACTCTTAATACCACTGAAACCCTTATTCACTCTCTCGTCACCTCCCAGCTGGACTTTTCCAATGTTCTCCTTGCTGGTCTCCCTCGCTCCATCCTCTATAACCTCCAACTCAGTCAAAACTACACCACCTGCATCCTCATGTGCACCAAACGCTGGGTCCATTAACCCAGTCCTCACCGATGGATCGATTTCAAGGTTCTCATCCTTGCCTGCAAATCCTTCACACCCTAGCACTTCCCTATCACAATGATCTCATTATTATTATTATTATTATTATCTCCTTCTGCCCCATTCCTCTGCTCATCCCTCCAATCGGCTAACTCCAGCTAGCTCCGGAATGCTACCCTGGGTGAAGGACACTATGTAAATTAAGGTTGTTGTTGTTGCTTTGTGCCTCCCATCACTGGTTGAGCTTTCCAATTCTATGCCCCTAACCCTTGGAACACCACCCCTCAATCGCTCCTTTCACTTCCCCCACTCCTCTCTTTCGCCCACAAAACATAGTCAATTCACTCTACAGTATATCCTGTGAAGCGCTTTGAGACATCTCGAAGATGTGATAAGGCGCTGTATCAAATGCAAGGATTATTATTATGTCTTCAAGTCCTACCTTAAGATCTACCTCTTCAACTGTGCCTTCCCCGCCATGCTCAGCAACTGTCCTGCCAATGTAACGTGCTCTGAGACATTATTCTATGTCAAAGGTGCTACATAAACCCAAAGTTGTTGTTTTCGAGGTACCTCCAGTGGGGTGCTGGGGGAGTGCTGCATTGTGAATCACTATTCTTTAGATGAGACGTTGAATTGACATCCTGTCTGCCTGTTTAGCTAATAATAATCCTTGCATTTGATATAGTGGAGTCCTGTAGCTCAGTGGTTAGAGCACTCGCTTTGCAAGCGAGAGACCTGAGTTCAATTCCAGGCAGAGGGCGAAACCTTGGGCAAGTTTCCTTACTACACACAGAGCCTAATAATAATCCTCCAAAACCACAAACAATAATAAATTGGTCATTTTCAATCTACGACTGTTTGTGGGACATTGCTGTGCGCAATTGGCTGCCGCGTTCGCCCACAAATATACAGTCAATTCACTTTACAGTATATTCTGTGAAGCGCTTTGGGACGTCCTCCCGACGTGAAAAGCGCTATATCAAAATGCAAGGATTATTATTATAGCGCCTTATGATGGCTTCGAGACATCTCAAAGCATTTCACAGAATATACTGTAAAGTGGATTGACTGTATGACGGACGAAACATGACAGCCAATTGCACACAGCAGTCACAAATAGTCGCAGAGGGAGGGCTGGATGGCAGGGGGAGGGCTGGATGGCAGGGGGTGGGCTGGATGGCAGGGGGAGGGCTGGATGGCAGGGGGAGGGCTGGATGGCAGAGGGAGGGCTGGATGGCAGAGGGTGGGCTGGATGGCAGAGGGAGGGCTGGATGGCAGAGGGAGGGCTGGATGGCAGAGGGAGGGCTGGATGGCTGGATGGCAGAGGGAGGGCTGGATGACAGGGGGAGGGCTGGATGGCAGAGGGAGGGCTGGATAGCAGAGGGAGGGCTGGTTGAAACGCAACTGCCTTCAGCACACACTGGATTGTTTGGCTCTATCCTGATAAATATCCTGATTCCTGTTTGAAAGAATGACCGAGCGTTCCGCTTTCCTCAGCAGCTCTCGGAGCCAGGTTAGGATCACTGAGCACGGGGGATGGAGACCAGGAAATAACTCGGGAAACCTGGGAAAGTCTGACACCGAAGATGCTACGAAACTGCACCAAGACCCTCGGTGAGTGACAGCCAATGTTCAGCCTCATGTTAGACAGCAACAGCTTGCATTGGAGTCCTGTAGCTCAGGACTTAGAGCACTCGCCTCACAAGCGAGAGACCTGGGTTCGATTCCCGGGCAGGGTGAAACCTTAGGCACGTTTCCTTACTCCACACGCCTCTGTTTATCCAGCAGCAAGTAGGAACCCGGTTGTTAGTCGATTGACGGATCACTTTTCCGGGGATAATAATCCCTTTAAAAAATAATAATAATTTGGTCACTCAATCCACGGCTGTTTGTGGGACGCTGCTGTGTACAATTGGCTGCCGCGTTTCACCCACAAAATACACAGTCAATTCACTTTACAGTATATTCTGGGAATCGCTTTGAGATGTCTCAAAGACGTGATATCAAATGCAAGGATTATTATTGTTATAGCGCTTCTCATGCAGGGTAGCGTCCCAGAACGCTTAGCCAAATCCGCCCGATCTTCTGGCCAGCCAGGCTGTGACAGCACAGAGCTCTCCATTTCAACAGATACGGTGCAGAGCTGACTATACAGGGGCTGTGCAGGTCCCACTGCAGATACTGTGCTGATAATTGGACACCATGTAAACTGGCTTCAGCACTAACTAAAAACAAATGGTTCCATCAGGAGTTATACTGTCTCAGTGTGCCAGCCCTTCTCTCTCATGCTCTTGCCTTTCTCTCACTTAAGTCTCTTTCTATGCAGGGTCTCCTTGGAGCTGATTTGGCTCCAAGGTGGCAGGTTTGGCAATGGAATCAAGCCACTGGGCACTGTGTAAATGATAATAATGTAATAATAATTAATCCTTGCACTTGATACAGTGCCTCATCACGGCTTCGGAACGTCTCAAAGCTCTTTACAGAATGTACTGTAAAGTTAATGACTGTATATTTCGGGGGCAATTTTCCAAATGCTGTTGTAAAAACAGCGCCTGGTGTAATGGGAGACGCTGTCTGTGGCTGAGGAAGGAATGTTGGAACAACACTTTCGACTATTAGCTGCCAAAACCTTCTTAGGCTCTTTTTGAAGTGAAGCCACTTTACTGATGGGTTCCAGGCATCAAGCGAAATCCCGACAGTGGGTTGACCATTCTCAGCTGTGCAGTCCCACTGCTGAGTCGCATTCCTCACTGAACTGGAAGAGTATCAGTAACGATGCCAATCAGTAACGATGCCAATCAGTAAAGATGCCGAACCAGATGAGCCAGTCTGGGCGATGAGATACAGTCTCTGGTCACCACACTCACACTGCGATTCCTGCTAAGCCAGGCAGTGTAGCTGGTTCTGAGTCTTAAAAGAGTTTAATTCTTCATCAGATGGGTGTGTTGGGGGAAGAGAGAGAAAGAGAGCGCGCGTGAGAGAAAGAGACAGAGAGAGAAAGAGAGTGGAGATATAACGAGAGAGAGTACGAGAGAGAGAAACAGAGACTGGGGGTGCGTGTGCGCGTGTGACTGGAGGTGCGTGTGCGTGCGTGACTGCGGTGTGGGTGCGCATGACTGTGGGGTGTGTGTGCGTGACTGCAGAGGGGGTGTGCGCGCGCGTGACTAAGTGTGTGTGTGTGCGTGTTTGTGGGGGTGTGTGTGTGCTCGTGACTGTGGGGGTGTGTGTGTGCGCGTCACTGTGGGGGGGTGTGTGTGCGTGTCACTGTGGGGGCGTGGGGCGTGCGTGACTGTGGGGGTGGGTCGGGGTGTGTGCGCGTGACTGTGGCTGTGGGATGGAACTCTTAGACACTGTTTGTAAGACTGTGTTGGTTGGGGGTGAGGTTGGGCTTATCCAACAGGAAGTGTGGGGTGCCATGATAGTGAGGAGAAGCTGCGCTGATAGGACAGACTGGGGCCAGGCTTCCAAGCACTCCGAGATTCTGCGCTGCGTGAAGGGCGCTATGTGAGGGCGCAAGTTGTTGATGCTGCTGCTGTGTTAAAGGTTCCTTTGATTCGGTGTCACTTGGGGTAACGAGTTTTCATCATGAATATTGAGCTCCGAGGCGAGGCTGCCCTCTGGTGCAGTGCTGGGGGAAATGCTGCATTGTCAGACTCGCTGTCCTTTAGATGAGATGTTAAATCGAGGTCCCGTCTGCGCCAGTTCAGGTGGACGTTGAAAACGACCGGCACCCAAATCAAGATTGAATTTAAGAATTTTCCATCATTTTTATTACAATCCTTGCATTTGATCATTTCAGATTGGGAGGTCATTTCAAAACGCTTCTCAGGATTCATTGTAAAGTAATAATCCCATGAATAATGATAATAATAATAATGATTTAGTCACTCAATCCATGACTGTTTGTGGGAAACTGCTGTGTGCAATTGGCCACCATGTTTCTCCCACAAAACACTACACTTTACAGCATATTCTGTGAAGAGCTTTGAGACGTCTCAAAGACATAAGGTTCTCAGTGGTCTGTGGTGTGAGATAGTGGTGGAGCCGGGTGATGCTGCTGAGGTGGGGGAAGGCAGAACAGGTCATGGAACAAGATGTAGGGTCGAAAGGATAGTTGAAGGTCAAACAAGGTGCCAAGATTCCGGACTGGCTCAGTAAGGTGGAGTGTGCATCCATGGATGGTGATGCTGTCAGCGCCTGAGATGTGGAGGCTTTGACGGGAGCCAATTGGGAGAGCCTCGGTCTTGTTGACGGTCAACTGAAGAAAATTAGCTCTCATCCAGGACTCAGTGGCACAGTGAAATGGCACTGGACCCAATGTGAGGGCTGTCATTATGAAGGGAAGCTCTACAGGGCATGATGGATTCATGAGGATAATTGAGGCCAATCTGAAATGTGGCCAATCAGGATGAGAGCTTAATAATAATAATAAAAGAACAAGGTCCATTTTTGTCCAACAATGGCTTGATGGACCTTTGTTGCCCGTCCTCTCTCCATATCGTGGTCAGTTTGTAGGAGGTTTGTGGAGGCCCAGGTCACCTCTCTCCGCTTTGAGGCTAACAATAATATTAATGATAAACCTTGCATTTTATACAGCACCTTATCACGTCTTCGAGACGTCTCACAGGATATACTGTAAAGTGAATTGACTGTATGTTTTGTGGGCGAAACGCGGCAGCCAATTGCGGACAGCAGCGTCCCACAAACAGTCGTAGATTGAGTGACCCAAGTGTTTTTTTTTTGAGAGATTATTACCCCAGAAAAGCAATTGGCCAATCGACTAACAACGCTTTTGTTGCTGTAAACCCACAACCTTCTGTCTCAGATGGAGAAACTGTTTCCACTGGTACGTGGGTCAGTAACCAAGAGACATAGAGTCAAAGTAATTGGCGAAAGAACCAGAGGGGAGATGAGGAGATTTTGTTTCACGCGGAGAATTTTTAGGGTCTGGATTGCGCTGCCTAAAAGGGTCGGTGGAAACAAATTCAATAACACCTTTCAAAAGGGAATTGGACAGGTACTTGTAAAGGAAAAATTTGCAAGGATATGGGGAAAGACCAGGGGAGTGAGACCGATTGGGTAGCTCTTCTCCTTCATGGGCCGCCATGTTTGGCTCCCGCACGTTCGCTTGCAAACAACCCCCCGGACAATCCAGCCCCACCCCATTCGCCCCATCATTAGTGGGTGGACTTTCAGCCATTCTGTCCCCAATCTCTGGCACTCCATCCCGGAGTCCCTCCGACTCACTGGCACTGCAACACCCCCTCCACCCACCCCACCATTCACGGCCCATCTCAAGACGTACCTCTTTGACCGCACTTTTGGTCAACCTTTCCCACCCCTAGCTCGTGTGACCAGCCAGCGGTCTCTTTGATGTGAGGCGTCTTTCCGGGATAAGAGTAACTGTGTGTTCCGTCGCGGTTTATTGGTCTAAAATGTCTGCCTCCCCTCGCTGCAGGTCTTGCACTTCTCCTCGTGCTGGTCGCTGCTGACAGTGACCAGATGTGCCGTCACCTGCAGGAGCTCCACAATAAGCTACAGTTTAAGCAACGGGTCAGGTACATGGTAGGTCACCATTCACAGCAGTCAGTCACACTGAGGACAGACAAGCAATGCTCTTACAGTGGGATAGGCCAGAGCCCCAATCACCCCAATCATATTGATTCCAATATTAATAATAATCCTTGCATTTGATATCGTGTCTTATCTCATTCAGACATCTCAAAGCGCACTTCACAGTAAAGTGCAGTGACTGTATTTTGTGGGCAAAACATGTTGGCTGATTGCGTACAGCAGGGGCCCACAAACAGTCACGGATTGATTGACCACATATTTTTTGAGAGATTATTACCCCCAGAAAGCGATCCTCCATTCGACTAACAACCGGGTTCCTGCTTGTCCCCGCATGTCCCTCGTGCCCCCCAAAACGCAGGAACTCCCTCCTCATCTTCAGGTCGCGCTTGAAGACCTTCCTCTTCAACTGCTTACGGTCACTTCCGCCTGGCTCAGTGTCAGGCTCCGCCACTGTCAAGCGCTCTGAGATGCTACCGTGAATGAGGGGAGCTTTATAAATGCAAGTTGTTGCTTTTATTGTAAGTGGCTTTTATTTTACAGAAGTACTACATCCCATTGAACTATACATTCAAAGTTCATTATGAAGAAATTTATAGAATAAAGAATACGACTCGCTTGGTAAGTCTAGACACAGGAACTGTATTTTTCAGCCAAAATACACACTGAAATCTTGCCTGTTCTGCTGGAGGTGATGACTCAAGTGCAGATTGAAAAAGTAAACCCAGAACAATCATGATAATAATCCTTGCAATTGATATAGCGCCTTAGCACATTATCAATACGTCTCAAAGCGAACCACAGAATATAGTGTAAAGTGAATTGACTGTGTGTTTTGTGGGTGAAACGTGGCAGCCAATTGCGTACAGCAGCGTCCTAATCACACCAAGACAGGAGAACAAGGGGACACAGGTTTAGAGGTGTAAAGGTGCAATTTCACGACAGACAGCAGGAAGTTTTTCTTTATCCAGAGGGAAATAAACAACTGGAACAGGGCTACCAGGAAGGTGGGTTGAGGTCAGGACACTGGGGGTCATTTAAAAAGCAGCTTAATGCTGTGATGGGGGGATGGGGGGGGGGTATTCTGGAGGGATGAGATCAGATGGGCAGAAGGGTCTTCTTCATCCAAACAATGTTCAAGGGCCAAACAGCTGGTCTCTGTCCTGTAAAAACGTTGTTCTGTGTGTGTGTGTGAATGTCAGGATTATAAGTTCTAAAAGACTAATGTGCTTTTTTTAAAACACATTTTTGCAGCAAAAGCAAAGTTTTACTGAGGTGGATCTGAAGATCCTGTGGGTTTATATCAATTCCCAAGTCTTTAAGTCAATCCTTCAAATTCTTCCAAGGAAACACCCTTCCAGAAGATATGTGAGAAGCATATCCAAGCTATTTGACTACCTGAGAATGGAGGTGCGATTCATGGTGAGTTTCAGTGTGTAGAATTCTTACTGCTGGGTCCTCTCATTTTCAAATCCCTTCACACCCTCACACCTCCCTACCTAACCGATCTGCTTACTCGATACTCCCCCACCTGCTGCCTCCACTCGGCTAGCTCTGGCCTCCTGTTTGTCCCTCATCCCCTCCACTCGACCATCGGTGGCCGTGCCTTCAGCCACTACAACAACAACAGCAACAACAAAATAACATTTATAGAGTGCCTTTCACGTCGGGAGGATGTCCTAAAGCGCTGAACAGTCAGCTGTCAGGGCCCGAGCATGGGGGAGGGATGGTGTAGGTGTGAGGGAAGGCAGAGAGGTGGGAGGGAGACCAAAGGCACGGTCGAAGAGAAGGGTCTTGAGACCGGCCTTGAAGGAGGAAGCGAGGTGAAGGAAAAAAAAAGAAAACTATGCCCCAAAACTCTGGGACTCTCTCCCTCAATCCCTCTGCTTTGCCCCCTCCCTCCCTATTTTCAAATCCCGCCTAAAAACCTTCCTTTGTGATGGTACTTTCGGTTACCTCCCCCCTCCCTCTCCCCCTGGCTCGGGGTCAGACTCCGCCACTGTCAAGCGTTCCGGGACACTGCCCCATGTGAAGGGCGCTGTTTAAATGCAATTGTTGTTGTTGAACGAGGCGAGGAAGGCAGTAATTTTGCACACATTCTTAAACTTTAAGTCACAACTGACTCGCACACTAAGACAAGGTGGAATTGGGGGCCTCGGCTATCTTTCTGGCTTGCCGAGGTTGAGGCTGGCTGGATACTCGGGAAGTCGGGGGAAACGGTGGAGTAATGGGAAAACATTTTTTTTTTGCCCAGTCAGATGTCTGACACGTGCGGAAACCCAACGCTGTGTTTAAGAGGATCCAAACCAAGCTGAGAATTTCATGCATCCCACCCACACATGGAAATCCCAGAGATAGATTGGAATGGAATGCGCTCTCTCTCTCTCTCTCTCTCTCTCTCTCCCTGGAGGGACACACCCTGCTTACCTAATTCCAGAAAGTATCAGGCGCAGGTTGGCAGGAGCCAAGGCTTGGGGAGCCCAGAGTGTGTGTTGGGGTAACTGCTGGAGTCTGATCAGCCAAAACCACACAGTTTGCCATTGATATCGCTGTCTGGCCAAGCTTTCCCGTTGCTTGTCCAGCTAAGACCACCCTCCCCATTAGGGCTTTGGCTGCGGGGTTAACAGGAGCTGAGTGGGAGGATTCCCTGCCCCCAGTGACTGGTCTGCCCTTCCAGGTCCTGCCAATGAGCCAGGCTAGCATCAGCAGTGGCCTGGAATACTGCGGACCCACCTGGCTCAAAATCCAGACTAGAGAACTTCACAGAGAACTGGTTCAGTTCTGACATTCCATTGCCAAACATGTCACCTTCAGGCCAGTTCAGCTCCACTCCGCTTAAATGGGAACAAAACGTCTGACAGGATCAGGCCAGAGAGCTGATTGGAGTTTTAATCCTCTGCCTTGATCTTCAGGTCATGGACCTTGATGAACGTGTTGAGGACATTATTGATGCAGTCCAAGGCAAGGATCCAGAGAGCAGGAGGAAGGACATCAAGCCCAAGGCTCTGCTCGATAACTGTTACCAGGTCATGATAGTCCTGTTTAACTGTAAGTAACACACACGTGAACTGACAGCAACCCTGGTCCTTTGGTGAGACCATTGTCAGAGAGAGGTGGAGTGTGAGGCCCACTTTGGCACAGTGCAGGCAGAATGTACACTGAGAGCAGGGCGGATAATAATAATAATCCTTGCATTTGACATAGCGTCTTATCACATCATTGAGATGTCTCAGCGTGCTTCACAGGATATATGGTAAAAGTGCAGTGACTGTGTATTTTGTGGGCAAAACGTGGCAGCCAATTACACACAGCAGCGTCCCACAAACAGTGAGTGACCGATCTTATGTATTGGATTGTTGGCCAGGACACCGGGAGAGAGAATCTTATCTTCTTCTGAATTTTTTTCATGGGATTTTTAATTTTCACCTGAACAAACAGATGAGACCTCGTCTCATCTGAAGGACGGCATCTCCAACATTGCAAACCCCCCACCCACACCACCCCGCCCTGCCCAGCGCTGCATTGGGGCTTGAACCCACAACCTTCTGACTCCGAGGCGAGAGCACACCAGGCTGCCACAACCGTACAGTATATGTCACTTGTCAGCTTTGCTCAGTTGGTAGCACTTCGCCTCTGGGCAATAAGGTTATAGGTTCACACCCACGTTGGGGCTTGAACTCGGGAGTCTAGACTGAAACTCAAGCTCAGTGCTGGGGTCAATCCACTTTACAGTATATTCTGTGAAGTGGTTTGAAATGTCTTGAAGATGTAATAAGGTGCTATATCAAATGCAAGGATTATTATTATTATTTATTATAATAAAGGTAATGGCAATTTTGTCGGCAGATGCCACATGGTCACCTTTTAGCCTAGTATTTTTTTAACAAAATTTTAGACAAATTTTCCAGAATATTATTTGAGAATGAAAGGTGTTGTATGATTATTACTTATTAGATACCTGCTTTTATGTTACTTCAATCATCTGAAAGTTTGAAACAAATACCCGAAGCATTGCTGTAGAAAATCTGCTTTTAAATGTTTCTGGATGTGGGATAAAAGTGCCCCTTTGAGTTCAGTTCTCACCAGTGACAATTTCTTTTTTTTTTAAAAATGCCCTGCTTTGACGTGAGATTACTGCAGGTTTGGGGGGAAGTGGGGGGTAGGGGTTCAGTGAGGTGAATGTTCAGTGTCTGGGCTCAGTGACAAGAGACTCTTATTAACATTATGGGATATAGTACATAGGTAGTTCAGGACATATGTGCATGCGACCGCCAGGAAGGTGGAGGGCGAACTGGATATACCTTGGTCTTTTTTTCGTCTGGCATTTCTTATGTTCTTATGACTCTCTTTTCCACTCAGGCTGGAATACCTGACGAGGAGATTCCCTGCTCACTACCTCTCCACACCTGTCTCTGTGTGCCACAACCAGCCCAGCTCGACTACTCTTCTGCTCTTGCCCAGGAGTCATCTCATTCCCCTCCCCACCCAGGGCCAGTCATCAGTGTGTGTGGTTGGAACATGTGAAAAGTGACATGGACGTTGGTTATCCAAGCATGTCTACACTGTTCTCACCTTTGGCTTGTGTTTGTTCACCAGGGTATGATACCTGTCCACCTCCAGGCTGCACCCACTTGCTGCCAGCTAAAGGAGTGCCGGATGTGGATGTGATGCACTGGGAAGGAGGAAGGTGTGATGGGGCTCACGGCTGCGGAATTGGACCCTCACCCATAGTCCCCTTATCACAATCCAGAACCCCCTTTCCCCAACCCATCCTCCTAATTACAAGACATGCATGTAAGGATGTGATGGGATCTTGCTGTGATTTCCCCTGCCTTCCCCCACCCTCCCCTAATGGTTAAAGAACAGCCACTTGGACAATGTATTTAAAGGACCTTTACTCCCAGGGGAAACTTGCGTCAATGGGAGTCTCAGAGGTCAGAAGCTGATGGACAGTCTCTGGGAAAGCAGAGAAAGATGCAGACCCCAGCTCGCTTCTCTGCTCATTGTCTAACCCCGACACTGGAAAGGGCTCCGAGACATTACCCTGCATGAAGGACGCTGTCTAAGTTCAAGTTGTTGTTGTAAACGGGTCAGTCACAGTGAGTTGGAGCAATCACTTGATAGTACTCACTGATGGTTCCCAATGTATGTATTGTGTCTCATGCTCAAGTTAAATCCCAACAAACAAAGCGATGAATGTAATTCCCATGTCACTGCAGCTATTGAGGCCTTTTTGTAAAGAGAAGGGCATTTCTCCTAGTGACTTTGCCAACAACCACCCCCTTCCTAAGGTAGATGACCATCTATGGCAAGCTTTCCTCCTGTTTGTCCAGCTAGGACCGCCTTATCCATTAGATCTTTGGCTTGCAGACTCCCTGGCCCCCAGTGACTGGTCTGCCCTTCCAGGTCCTACTGATGTGCCCTGGAATACTGCGGACCCACCTGGCTCAGGAACCGGACTAGAGACCATCACAGAGGACTGGCTGGATTTCCACATTCCGTAGCCAAGCATATCACTTTGGAGCCAGTTTATCTCCAAGCAGACCTTGCTTACCCACCCCACTGCCCAGCCCTCCACCCCGGAGGATACCAACAACAACTTGGGATTTATATAGTGCCCTCCACGCCGGACGGTGTCTCAGGGCGCTTCACAGTAACAGTTTCTGGGGCTGAGCCAGGGGGAGGGGGAGGAAGGTGACCAAAGGCCTGGTCGAAAAGAAAGGTCTTCAGCCGAGACCTGAAAATAGGAAGAGAGGGGGCAAGGTGAAGGGAGTGAGGAAGGGAATTCCAGAGCCTCGGGGCATAGTGGCTGAAGTCACGGCCGTCGAAGGTGGAGCGGAGGACTCGGGGGATGAGGAGGAGGCCAGACCCGGTGGAGCGAAGGCAGCGGGCACTGTTGTGAGGAGAGAGGAGGTCAGAGAGAACGGGGGGTGCAGAGGAGTGGAGGGATTTGAAGACAAGTGAATGGTAATGGAGGGGAGGCCGGTGAGGAGGGCATTTGAATAGTCCAGTGGCGAAGTGACAAAGGCATGGACCAGGGTTTCAGCGGCTTTTGGAGTGAGGTATTGGCAGAGGTGGGCGATTCTTCAGAAGTGGAAGAAAGCGGTGCTGGTGAGGGACAGGATGTGAGGGAGGAAGGATAATTGGGGGTCGAACCTGACGCCTAGGTTGCGAACGGGTTCGGAGAGTTTTAGAGGGAGGTTGGGTAGGTGGAGGAGGTGAGAACCGTGTGATTTTAGAAGTTAACGAGAGCCAAAGAGTATGGCTTCCGTCTTGTCAATGTTCACCTGAAGGAAATTCACGCTCATTCAGCTCCTGAGGTCTGACAGGCAGCTGACAGAACTTCAGGGGACTGGGGGGGTCACAAAGTGAGGTGGAAAAATAGAGTTGGGTGTCATCCACATACATTATTATTATTATTATTAGGCTGCACTCTCCACCTCTCAAAGCCAGTCAGGAACCTCGGCGTTTTGATCGACCCTGAGCTGTCCTTTCTCCCTCACATCCGCGCCACAACTGGCACCGCCTTCCACCACCTCCGGAACATCGCCAGACTACGGCACTACCTCACCCCTCACGCGGCTGAAACCCTGGTTCACGCCTTTGTCACCTCAAGGCTGGACTATGGGAACTCTCTCCTCGCCGGCCTTCCCGCCACCTCCCTCCACAAGCTGCAGGTCATTCAGAACTCTGCAGCTCGTGTACTGTCCCGCACCAGGCTTCGGGACCACATCACTCCCACCCTCGCTCGCCTCCACTGGCTCCCCATCCCCAGAGGATTGATTTCAAGATCCTCATCCTCACCTACAAGGCCATTCACGGCCTTGCTCCCTCCTACCTCTCCAACCTACTATCCCCCTACCTACCTGCCCGTACCTCCGTTCCTCTGGCTCCGATCTGCTCCACGTCCCCCGCCCCAACCGCCCTACCATCGGTGGTCGGGCCTTCAGCCTCTCAGCCCCGAGGCTCTGGAGCTCTATCCCCCAGTGCCTTCGCCGCTTCCTCCCTCTCCTCCTCCTTCAAGGCCGGTCTCAAAACCTTTCTCTTTGACCGAGCCTTCAGCTCCCTTCTCGATTCTCTACCCCCTCCTCGCTCCCTCCCTTCCCTCCCCTCACCATTTCCTCGCTCCCTCCCTTCCCTCCCCTCACCCTGACCATTTCCCTCTGCTCGGGTCATGACCCAACTGTGCAGTGCCTTGGGACGTCCTCCTGACGTGAAAGGCGCTTTATAAATGGAATCTTGTTGTTGTTGTTGTATTATTATTATATGTGGAAATGTATCCCGTGTCTGTGGATGACATCCTCAAGAGGGGATAACCACTAGTTAGTTGTTCGACAAGCGGGGGTTTGAGTCCTCACTGGTTGGATGGTAGATACGAGGTTCCCTGTGGGCAACACGTCTCAGCAGAAAATCGGGTGACCATATTGTGTAAACCAAATCCAGGGATACTGGGTTTATTTTTAAAAAATGGACTCCTCACAATTGCTGATTGTAAAAATTGCTGAGCCAGGCGGCTCTGCAGCAAGCCAAAGCAATACAAAGCTTACTGGAAAAGTGTGTTGGATTAACGGCTATGTTTCTCTGATGAGTGATTCCATCTGTGATCTGCTTCCTGTGCCTGACTTTTTTTCAACGAAAGCTTCATTCCTTCCTTTGCCTGTCTTCAGATTGCTCCTGAAGACTTTCCTCTTTGACCATGACTCCCCCTCTCTCTCCCCAGTCAAGCTCTGCCACTGTTTAAATGTTCCGAAGCGCTACCTACCCTGCTTGAAGGTAGTTGTTGTTGTGGTTGTTGAATTGGAAAAGCACTTCTAACAGTAGTATTCCTTGCATATGATACAGCAACAATAACATTAAGACATCTCAAAGAACTTCTCAGGGAATGGTTGTCAATTGCAGTGCCTGTGGATGTGTAGTTGGCTGCAGCTGTCTGTTTGTGAAGATCTCGCAAACAGCCATGAGGGAATAGCCAACTTTCCTGTGGGGACTGATGACCAGGAAACTAGGAGAAACTCGCTCCTCTTTTGAATACAATCTCAGGAACTTTAACGTCCACCTGCACAGATCTCAGTTTAAGGTCCCAACCGAAGGAAATTTGGCTCACATCGAGGTGCAGTGTGAGAATCATTAAGAATCATTAAGCCATGCTATTGAGAGTGCCAGCTGGTTCCCAACGACAAGCAGGTTTGATCTAACCTGTATCCACCTTTACACAGCAAAGGAGGAGGACATTTGGTCCATCGTGCCTGTGCTGGCTCTTTGGAAGAGCGATCCAATCAGTCCCACTCCCCCGCTCTTTCCCTAATATCCTTGCAAATTTCTCCTCTTCAAGTCCCTGTCCAATTCCCTTTTGAAACTTGCTATTGAATCGGTTTCCACTAACCTTTCAGGCCGTGCATTCCAGACCGCAACAATACTCTGTGTAAAGAAACAAAAAAAATTCTCATCTTTCCTCTGGTTCTTTTGTCAATTATCTTGAATCTATGTCCCCTGGTTACTGACCCACTCACCAATGGAAACCGTTTCTCCTGATCTACTTTCTTAAAACCCTTCATAATTGTGAGCACCTTTATTAGATCTCCCCTTAACCTTCTCTGTTCTAAGGAGAACAATCCCAGCCTCTCTACATAACTAAAATCCCTGGTACCATCCTGGTAAATCTCCTCTGCACCTTCTCCAATGCCTTGATATCCTGCCAAAAGGGATTTTCCTTGACATCCTGGAGACAGATGAATATTATTAAGTTTTGCTGAGTTAAAACCAGGATTCCTTGTGCCAACTACAGAGCCAAGAAACAAACCTCACGGAGAGGAAAATCTGGGAATGTTTTATACTTGGATCAGGAATCCTAGAGGAAACAGGAAGTGGTTTGAGACTTTGCCATGTTGTGTCTGGATTGGTTTGTCGTGTTTAAGTCTCTTCGAGCAATCTCAGCGCAGACACCAGGAAGATTTTCTTTACACAAGAGGGAATCAACAGCAGGAACAAGGTACCTGGAAGTGTGGTGGGGATACAGGAAGGATGAGATCGAATGGGCATCTTAACATGTTACGCACAGCTAGTTTCCTTACTCCACACACCTCAGTTTACCTGGCAGGAAGTAGGAACAATGTTGTTATTCGATTGGAGGATCACTTTCTGGGAGTAATAATCCCTTCAAAAAATAATAATCATTTGGTCACTCAATCCCCGACTGTGGGACACTGCTGTGCGCAATCGGTTGCTGTGTTTCACCTGCAAAACATACAATCAATTCACTTTATATTCTGTGAAGCGCTTTGAGACGGCTCAACAACATGATAAGGCGTGATATCAAACGCAAGGATTATTATGTGTGGCAAGAGAGAGGAAAGTAAGTGTGAGGTAGGCAGGCTGCTGTTCTGTACAGTACAGATTTATTAATTCTGTCAATCATCACAGTGCAGTTGTTACTTTTCAGCAGTGACAGTGAAAGGAAATCGACAATGATAAATATTACAAAAGTGGGTGGGTGGGCGGGCGGGGGGAGAGGCACTGAAAATAAATTAAATGAACAAGTTACAAACAGCACCGGTCACAACTACTTCACATCAGGAAATCCCAATTATTATTTTAAACGTTTATTATACAAAAAAAGGAGCGAAAAGACACTTTCGTATCTGCTCACGAAAAAGGGGAGAAAAATAGCAAAAAGAAGAAATCTATCCTTTTAAAAGTAATCGGTTATGCTTTACACGATAAAAGTGGAGCTTGCTTTTGCAAGGCGAACTAGACATCTGTCAATCATTCTGTCCTTTTTATTTATATATACTGTATATACACTGATTGGTAATGAACTTTGCTGGTGATCACATCACAAGCGTGTTGGGCAGAGGGGAGGCTGGGGAGGGGGGAATGGGCAGTGCATAGGGGTCACTCAGTTCCAAGCTCCATCTTGGAGATCGATGATAGGTTTGTGTCCACTGTCCTTCTCCCAGCGTCTTGCCTCAGACTCCAGAGGTGGGCACTCGCTGATCTGTGCAGCACAGCTCAATCAGAGGGGGGAGGGGAGAGATCGAGATGGCAAGAAGGGGAGAGATGGGGGGAGCAAGAGGCGAACAATGAGAGGGGGAGGAGATAGAGAGAAAGAGGGTGGGAGATGGAAAGAGGGTGGGAGACAGAAAGAAAGTTGGAGACAGAGGAAAGAGGGAGGGAAAGAAGAGGAAGGGTGAGAGGATGGGAGAGACAGAGAGAGGAGGGAGACGAGGAAAGCTAAATGCCAAATCGGCCTCCATCCCGACCAATGCTTTCCGGGGAGACTCCGACAATCCTGGAAAAGAGAAAGGAGTTTCTCTCTCCCGGTGTTCTCGCCAACAATCCCTCAAATGAACCTAGTCACTCGCTCCGTGGCTGTTTATGGGACATTGCTGTGCTCAATTGGCTGCCG